AATTAATTATTAAAATTTATTATATATTATATAATTAATTTTTTTATTATTAATGAATATATTTATTGACAATTTTATTAATTTAAAAGGTGTTTTCAAAAGTATAAGTAATTTGTTTGTCTTTCAAAATTTTAAAAATTTTATTTTATGGAATAAGCTCATTTGAATTTTTATACAATGTTAAAATATTAAAAAAGTTTTAATGTGGGGTAACAAATTTTTAATTAAAATTTTTATATAATATAATTTTATCCTCTAATAATTCATGAAATTATAAGAAGAATTATATTATTTCACATTTATTTTTATTTTTTTCAATTAGATAATCAAAATCAATAATTTTTTATTTGAAAATAATGATAAATGTTTTTTGCACCATTTATTTTTTCACTTTAAATTTTTTAATTGGATTTAATAAAGTTGAGTCTTATACTTTTTTAATTAAAAATAAAAATGTTTTATCTAGATTTTTTAACTAATTATTTAGTAACATGTCTTTTTTAACATTAGAATTGCAAATTCTTTAATATGATTCACAAGATCAATTTTTATGTAAGGTAAAGTGAAATTTTCTTTTCAATAAATTTTAAGATGTAAGTATATTAAAACTTAAGCACCTATTATTCTCTTTATATTTTGTGTATTTTTTTTTTTATGTAGAAGATTAATTAAAAACTTCACAAATATTATTTAGATTAAATTTTAATAGAGCAAATCACTTAAACATAACTAATATAAACCAATTTTAAAGAATTTTAATCCTAACAATATTTTTATAATGAATTTAGATGTAATTTGATTGGCATAGGTGAATTTTTTTTATTTACCTCCTCAAAAGTAAGTATCTTAAAAAAATGGTGAATTTTTTTTATTTAACTCCTCAAAAGTAAGTATCTTAAAAAAATATAGATTTTAAAGCAATTGTAAGAATTCAAACTGTATCTTATTACTTAGATTAAGAGGGTAGCATGTGAGAATATGGGATTTTAGCTAACATTTTTTATACTTAATTTTGCATTTGTATTTGTTAACATATAGTTTGTACTATTTGGAATAGTAACAAGAAATTCTCCTTTCTTTAGATGAGTAAAACACATTATTTATTTAAAAATATAAAATTCAAATAAAATAAATATGTGATATAAACAGTAATTTTTTTGTACATCAAATAACTAAACAACAATAATCCTAGCATTTATACTCAAATCGTCATAGCAAAATGAACAATTTAATCCATCTTTGCTATTGGGATTTATATGTTCAAGTACAATATTGAAAAAAAATACGATATTGATAATATAATATAAAATCATATAATCATAAAAATTTTATAAATTTTAATATTACCTAATTATGAAATCAATCGTGCAAAGTATATGAATAAAAAAAATTAATTATGAATAAAATTATTACTTATTACATTTAATAATAAAATAATTACAACAAATAATATATTAATTAACCTTAAAAAATACCCTAAAAAAATTTGTTATCAATTTTTTTTCTCGTTTTAGAAAATGATAAACTGCATAAAAATGGAGTTTCCTTTATAAGGGTAAAACATAGATGTTGTGATTACAGTAGATTCGGATGGTTTAGATTAGTTTATTAATTTATTTGTGGATTCGAATTCATTTTAAGTTAGAATTCAATCGATTCTAGTTAATTTCGGGTTTGCATTAGTTAGATCGGATTTTTTAAAAAATTCACATTATTACAATTCTAAATTAGTTTGAATTCATGTTCATTTTGAAATTGATCAGTCACAAATTATTTACAATAATATAAAAATTTTATAAATAATAGTTTAAATATAATTAATTAAATAAAATTAAACATATATAAATATGAATTTATTTTCATTTAAATAAAATTATATAAATAAATATAGAAGTAGATAGAAAATTTCTTTTGATTTTAATGTGTTTAATATTGAATTAATCTTTTTTAAAAAAATTCAATTAATTAATTATTTAATGAAACAATTACATAAGCAACTAAATAAATAAATATGTAAATTAATTTCATTATCCATTTTAACAATAATTATTATATCAAATTATATTAAATATTTTTAATGATCGACTTATATTATAATAATTATGTTAGAAAATTACATAATATATCAATTTATATTAAATATTTTTAATGATTACTTTTTTAATCTTACCATCACACAATAACCTTTTACTAAACACATATTATTCCACTACTAATTTTAATTTCCCCACCGTAACTCTTAATCTTACCATCAAAGATGGCAATGAGTACCTCATACTTTACGTCACCTCACTTGATTAAATAAAATTAATAATCATTTGGATCTCACAATATTTACGGTGTGATCCGATTAAGCTCATTATACCTTTAATTGAATTTAAATATTAATTTTAATAAAATAAAATTAATATAAATTTTTTATTAAAATTCTTTTAATCGTAATTATAATAATTTTTTTTAATCATAACTATAATAAATTTTATTATTATTTTTAATCTTATTACAATCAATTTTATCATCAATACAAATGGAGCTTTAGAATATTAGATTTGGGTTGGATTCAAATAATAAAATTAAAATTACTACATGTAATCGGTTCGATTAGTTATATTGGGAACCCAATACCCGAACCATAGTATGGTAATAATTTTTTACATCAAGTTCCAATTTTATATATGTTTTTGTTTATAAATTATTTATTACTAATGTAATAGTTATTACAATTCATTAATTGTTTTAAATACGATATTTAATAGTTTAGGTGTGTTTGGGTGGAGTATTTGAAAAAAAAAAATTTTATTTTCAATCAAGATTTTTACCATTTCAAAAATAAATTTATTGATTGGGTAACAATAAGAGAAAATTTCAAAATTTAAAAGAAAATTTAAAAGAGAATTTGAGCCATCTTAAAATTTCACCTAATAATTGGTTTTTCAAAATTTCTCCAAACCTTATATTTTTACTGCGCGTAGGCTACAAACAAAACTCAAAAAATAAAATATCATCTTATTTAACTCTAAAATATTTTTATATTATTAATAATATTTATATATTTTTATAAATATAATGATACACTGTTGCATATTTTTATAAAGTATATTTTTTATCTTTAATATTATTATTTTTTTAGTTCATTAAATTTAAATAGACCAAATTTTCTTTTAAAAAATATTTATCCAATCAAAATAATTATAAATACTAACATTTTAAAATGACATCATTTTAAATTTCTTCAAAATTTTAAAAAATTTTCATCCAAACATTAATTTATTTCTTTTATCAATTAACCTTAATTATTATCTTTAATTTATTTCTCGTTAATAACATGCATAAAAATTATTTTTAAATTTATTTTTATTTCAAATTCAAGTTATATAATAACTAATTAATTATGTTATTTATAATTTAAAACACCAAAATAGGGATTTTGCAAATATTAGGAATCAAGTTCTGCCAAAAGGAACCTCAATCTTTCTTTTTTTAAATCCAATAATTTATTTCAACCATTTTAAAAAGAAAAATTGACAACATTTTGACAAATTTGACCTTAAAAAAATTTTTATAAATAAAAATCATAATCTAAAAATAAGAGAAAAGATTATAGATATAAAAATTCGAACCTAAAACTTAATAAATATTATCTGAGTGATTGAATCAACCAACTGAATTAAAAATTTTTTCTTTAAGATGATTATTGAAAATTTTAATTCTTAAAATGAGGTATTTTTAAACTTTATTCCTAAACAAAGATATTTTGATTTAATTAAATTCCATGTCAGTGTTATAGTCCATATCAGCATCTTCTTTTCTGTACGCATAAATAATCTCTATCTTCTATCTTGTAATCTCATCTAACAAGAAAAAAACCTGCTTCATCTCATCAGCTCCATCATCATCTCAGATTTTCAAATTTTAAAGAAAAACTATACAACTTCAAATTGAGAGAGAAAAAGGAATTTAGATCTAAAACCAAATAAATAAGGAAAAAGAATGTTACCTAACGAAAATTGAAGAGTTTTTTCTGATGAAGTTCTCGTGGAGGCTACCATGGTCCTCCAACTTCACATGCTCTTCCAAATGTTTTCTATGAGCGCCTGGAAAGGAATATGAATGCTTTTAGATCTCCCCATTGTGGTTGGGCTAGGGAGGGCATAAAAAAGAGACTTTGGAGTCCGTGGTCCACCATCTCCTAGACATGAAGGCAGGATTATCTAGACAATGACTACAAGGTGAGTAGATTTGATACGTCAACGACAATGGAACGGGGTCATGGAGATTTTTGTTGGGACTAAAAGTAATAAATAAAATAACATAAAAATAATATGTTATAATAAATTTATAATAATAAATAATAATTAATAATCAATAATACAAAAAAAATAAAGCACACTAAGATTTATATAAAAATTTTGGTAGTATAAAAAAAATTACGAATTATAAAATAAATATTTTAATATTAAATAATAGATATACAAAATTTTTTTAACTAAAACTAGAACTAATCAACAATTGAAAAAATAATTTGAGAAATTTTCTCGAATATGTGACTTATTAAATATATATTAAATTTGTTTTTAAAAAGCATCAAATCCACTATTCATCGTATGAAACATAAATTTACTAATAAACTTTCAGTTTAATTAAATCGTGAATCAACTTTCATTTAATCAATTTTTTTTTCTTTTTTTCTCCATTTTTCTTTGGTTTCGATGCCATTACCTTCTATTTCTCTATTATACAATATTTTTTTTATTGTTTAAGGTTTTATATAAATAAAACTCTTTTAAGTCGAAGACGAAAAAAAAAAAAGATTTTAGGTTTTTTAATTGGCCAAAACCAATGAGGAACCTCACTCTTTCTAACAATTGTAAAAGGGGCAACTTCTTCAATGAAAGGAAAGCATATGAAAGGCGACCACCATGCATCTGCACCTCTACCTCCACTTCTACAGCTTCTTCCTTGAGACATATGACCAAGTGATGTGAGAGAGAGGAGTAGAACACCAATCAGGGTTCTCCTCCGCCAAAAGAATATTGTCAAGATATATACTGTGGAAATTGATGGCCCAAATGCTGCATTCAAGCCTGTGGAAAATAGCAAAGGGAAGAATGCCAAGCAAGTGGCTTGGGTTTTACATCTTAAGACTCATCGTGCTGTCGGTTGTGTTGCTCAGATTGCTACACTCTTCTGGGGATTGCTAAACTCTCCTAGTCAATTTTCTCTCTGTAGGTTTTGTTGTTACTTGGTTGAGAATTAAGGAAGAAAAATAACAGATATTTATGTCTTAGGAGATGTTGACATGGAATTATAAATCTGTCATGGTATTCAATTAGACTAAAATACCTTTATTTAAGAATAAAGTTTAAATGTAATCTATTTTAAGAATTAAGATTTAAATCTATCTTAGTTCAGGAAATACCTCACTGAACTAAACTATGGATTTAAATTAATGTAGGTAATTACGGATCAAATTGTACATTTGTAACTCATTCATTTAAGGTTTAACTAAACTAATAATAATTTTCACCACCAAAACAACATTATGGCAAACTCCATATTGTTTACAACAGCATCAATTTCCATTTTCTACCCGCTTTGGGATATTGATGGGGGGATTTGGCAGCCCTCCTGCTTTTGCTATTTTGGCTGCAACAAGAAAATGAAAAGCAATGATTTTAATAACAGTTTGTGATATAAGTAATACGCATTTGGAAAGAACAGGTTGACAGACTTTCAAAAAAACAGAAAAGGGGGGGGGGGGGGAATGCTTGGACAGTTTGAACACATGATGTTTAGGTGTTAATTAGGCAGGTTGGATCAAATTTAGGTTCATTTATCTCCACAGCCATAGGTCAGCTACATGAGAAACACCAAAACCTAGAAAGCCTCAACCGTAACTCGATCTAGTGAATCATGAACTTCTCGTTCAAACTCTGCATCAAAGAAGGAACCAAAGAAAGAAGAGAAAGAAAAACTTATGCTACTATGCCCTCAATAACAACTAACTAATTCCGCACTCAATACTTGAGCCTCTATTGTCGAGTATCCTTAATCCTTGGAGAACTTTATACCCTACACTTGACAATACCAATAATGACCCACATTTAATGCGGCTGAAGCAGTGAAGCAAGTTATTCCTCTATCAAAGTCTGACAAAGAAAGGCTCTCCACCAGCTTTACTTAATATGATCAATTCAGAAACAGAACCTATCAACCACTGCAACTTGCATGTATAAAAAATGACCAGTTTTTTTATGATAAAAATATAGTTAGAAAACAAACCTCCAAAACAGATATCTGCGAGGAAGAAGCTGCTTTGTGAAGGACATCAATTCAAGAAGATTATCATCCTCCATGAGAAGTTTAAGATTGGTTTATCTTTAAACTGCATTAAGCTTGCAAAACTTCCTGAAAGTTAAAACAAGAGTGAGGCTTGGTGACTTAATCATAATCAGGACAACAAAAACATCATGGTTCAACATACTGACCTTAAGATAACCAATGTTTAGTTCAAGCATCTCTAGACTCTATCTGGCCTGAGAGCTTGTTGAGAAAATGATTTGCAACCCTCACCTGTACATACCTCATACCTCAATAAATATGAAAACATTGCTTAGAAGCAACCTTATATTCTCCCCACAACAATCAAATGAAGTAAGGTTTGTGTTAAAAGATTCTGTGGACTTTATGCCACAGAAGGAATTTGTCTAAAAGTGCTCTAATGCAAGTGATAGGCAGTGAGTTCACAATCCTCTAATTGCGTAGAGATATGCATTCGACAATTGGAAAGTCATACAAAAGTAACAGGGACTTTTTCCCTATCAGATCGCATTTGGAAAGTGAAGAGGCATAAATCCTCAGACATAGGAATGCAATCCACAAGATCAATATGCCAAAATTAAATAAAAATAGGCTTCACAATTTAAATTTTCGAGGAAAATGGCCACATTTGCTCAGCAACCTCAAAATCTCCTTCGCGAAACCTTGATTACCTGTCAGTAAAAGTCCATCCAAAACCCGATTGAAAGTTAGTCTCCGAGGCATAAATCCTCTATCAACCATCTCAATCAACAACTTCCCAGCCACCAACAAATCATTGGATTTCTTCCTTACAAACATTGCACTTATCAAAATATTGTATGTATCTAAATTTGGTAAGCAATCCCCACTATTCATCTTCTCAAACAACTCCAAACCTTTCTCAATCTCACCAGCATACAAAAAATACCGGATCATGATATTGTATGTCTGCACATTTGGTCCACACTCATCATCCCTCATTCTATCCATATATTCCATAGCCCTTTCCATTTGTTCTTTATGACACAACCCCCTTATCACCACATTATAAGTAGTGGAATTTGGCACATAACCCTTACTCAACATCTCCTCAAAAACTGAAATAGCATTCTCTACGCTGTCTTTCTTACACAAAACTTGAATCAAAGCATTGTAAGTAGCAACGGAAGGCAACACACCTTCCTCAACCATCTCATCGAAAACTTTTTGAGCCCTCTTAATCTCCCCCATAACACCAAGTCCATGAACTACAGTAGTATAAGTAACAACATCAATTTCGCACTTTCTCTTCTTCATTTCCAAAAAAAACTTCCAACCATTCTCAATTTGACCAGCTCTAAAATACCCTTTTAGCAATATGTTATAAGTAGTCAAAGTTGGAGTCAAACCTTTCTCCACCATCTCCTTTAAAGTCTCAAGAGCCTTATTTGTCTTCTTAATCAAACACCAACCATTTGCAATTATATTATAACTAATAACATCAGCTTTAAACCTTCCTCTGAGTACTTTAAAAAACTTCCATGCTTTCTCAACACGTCTAGCTTTACATAAAACATCGAGAATTGTATTAAAAGAATGCAAATCCTGGAAACAACCATGTTCATGCATTGACAAGAAGATTTTAAGGGCTTTATCGGGTTTTCCAGCGGCGACGTACCTTTCGGCGATGATGGCGAAAGTTTTGGGGGTGGGCTGGAGGCGGAGAGAGCGCATGCGGTGGAGGAGGGTGAAGACGGCGGCGTAGTTCCGGAGGCGGGCTGCGATGTCGATAGCATGGTTGAAGGAGGAGGCAGAATGGGTGTAGGTAGGGTGATTGTGGAGGAGGAGGTGGAAGAATTGGAGGGCTTTGGGGCCGTGGTTCCAGAGATGTTTGAGGATATTGTCCACTAAAAGTGGGGTCCAGTTAATGGAGGAGCAGAGGAGGGATTGAGTTAGGGATTGTGGGTTGGTGGAGGTCAGGATGAGATTTGCGAGGGTAGAGGCAGCAGCGGGAGTGTTCATGGTGGTTTGCGAAGGTGGAATGGGGGTGGTGGTGAAGGGTTTTGGCAGGTGGAGAGGTGTTTTGGAATGGAGTGAAGAGAGTTTGGAGAGCAAAGAAAACATTTTTGGGGTTAAAATTATCTGTTCAGACAGGCGCTTTCAAGTATGGTCAGAAAGTGTTCATTTGCCATTCAAACACAACGACAAATGAAGGAGCATCAAATGTTCAAAGAAAAGGAAGTCAGTTTTGGGCTTGTCATTGGGCCATTTCCAAGCCCAGTTGAAAGAGGTAGGGACTTTTCTGTTTTCAAAATCAGTAGCTATTTGACACAAAGTTACCATCTTTTTTTTGAGAGGGGGATGTTCAAAGAAGGGCGCCAGCTTCATTATTATTAGCAGTTAGCAATTCAATTCAGTAATTTCAAAAAATGAGTTCGAAAGAAAGTTGCAGAAACGAGCTTCGCACTGCCATTCGCCAACTCACAGATCGTTGCCTTTACTCTGCTTCCAAATGGTAGCCCCTTTTAAACCCAAAACCCTAATCTCTTTTTGGTATTTCCATTTTTTTCTTTTAAAGAATGATGGAATTTTGGCTCTCTCATCAAGAACCCATTTCTCTGAGTGCCTTTGTAAGTCTTTAGTAGATGTTAGCAGATCTCTAAAGCACTGTCAAGATGGTGTTTTACTAGGTTTCTTGAAGTGGAAATTGAACCCTTTTTGGCAAATGTAATGCCTTAATTTGGGATGCAAAGTTTGGCTTTGCGTTGCTTTTATGCCTTTTTGATGATGAAGTGATGTTCTTCATGCTCCATTTTCTCATTGAAGATGCAGTCTGTCATCAGAAATTTTATGAAGTTTGATTCCTTGTATATACAGAATCTCTAGTTGGTGTTTTTGAGCAATGAATCATTGATTGGTTTTGATTTGCAGGGCAGCCGAACAGCTTGTGGGAATCGAGCAAGACCCAGCGAAGTTCACACCTTCCAACACAAGATTCCAGCGTGGAAGTTCAAGTATTCGCCGAAGGTTCCGGACCAATGAGATCACTTCAACTCCTCCCACTGGTGTTGCCTATGTGTCCACTCCAGTGATGGAGGAGGATGAAGTGATACATGGTGACTTTTACCTTCTAGCAAAGTCGTACTTTGATTGCCGAGAGTATAGGAGAGCTGCTCATGTGCTTCGGGATCAAACTGGAAATAAATCCGTGTTCTTGCGATGCTATGCTCTTTATCTGGTTTGTTTATTTGTCATCTCAGTGGCTTGTAGTAATTTACATCACTTGCTGTTTTTTTGTTCCCTGCTTTTGATTGTATAAAATGAGTGATGATGTGATAGCTATTTTCATGTGTGAGTTTTTATGTTCCGTAAGCTTTAGTTGACCACCTGTCTCTTAAGATTTGAAAAACACCAGATTTTATTTAATAGGGCTTCATTTGCACCTCTAGCACATTATATAACATCTTACTCTATTTGGAAGCTTATGGAGGAGAATATTCTGAGGTGGTTAATTATTCATCATCAATTAAATTGTCCTTGCTTCAAAGTTCAAAAATTGAGGTGATGGAAGTAGTTAATTTGGACATTTATATTACTCTTTTTCCCTCTTTTTTTGGGCTTAATGGAGAAATTTTATGACTTGGTTGAGGGAGGGGAAATAATGTTGATCTTGCATAAGTGTTTGTTATCCCGCCCAAGTAGATTAAACTTATACATAATAACCTTTCATAAATATTTTATGTTTGTTTGCCTCTTTTTATTCTTATACATGATTTGGTTTTCATTGCCTTATTAAAATTTTTAACATACATCCACAGATGAACAACTTAGGTTACTTGATTAGTTTATGTAAAAGACAGTATTGATCCATCAAAAGTAGTCGGTGGTCCTCATCTAATGAATTCTAATTGCTCAAGGAGTTTTGAAGAATACAAAGCAACTAGTTCTGTAGTTTTGGACTGTTACAATCCATACCAAACTTTGTAAATCCTAATCCTGGCATTCATCTAACTCAAAAATCAAAGACTCAAAGTAGTAGTCATATCATGTATTATATTATTGAAGTTGATCTAAGTTGGCCTTTGTACTTGAGAGAATATTAAATGGAATGGGGATTTATTTCTGTGCTTGATTTCCTTTTATCTTTTATTTTGGTGTTTTAAGTTTGTCTGCCGGATATCCTCTAGTTCACCTGGCATTCAAGATTAGTCCACAGGGAGGAAGCTCTTATCATTGATGCATGATATAACTACTTACTGAAATACTTATATCATTTATTATTAGCATTGAATTTAGTATACCTTGTTTATAGGTCATTTGCTCTTATGCCAATGCTATGTGATTTCTTCAAGCTATCTTATGTTTCTGTACTTTGCTTTTTGTATAATGAAGGCTGGCGAAAAGCGGAAAGAAGAAGAAATGATAGAACTTGAAGGGCCCTTAGGTAAGAGTGATGCTGTGAACCGTGAATTGGTTTCTCTAGAGAGGGAGTTATCATCTCTTTGCAAGAATGGCATGATAGATCCCTTTGGGTTGTACTTGTATGGTCTTGTACTTAAAGAGAAAGGCAATGAAAATCTTGCCCGCAAAGTTCTCGTGGAATCTGTGAATAGTTACCCTTGGAATTGGAGTGCCTGGTCAGAGTTGCAATCCTTGTGCACTACAGTTGACATCTTGAACGGCCTTAATCTCAGTAATCACTGGATGAAGGAGTTCTTTCTTGCCAGTGTTTACCAAGAGCTCAGGATGCATAATGAGTCGCTGTCCAAATATGAAAATCTACAGGGTACTTTTACATTTAGTAATTACATACAGGCTCAAATTGCAAAAGCCCGGTATAGTCTAAGGGAATTTGAACAAGTTGAAGTGATATTTGAAGATCTTTTAAGGAATGACCCATATCGAGTAGAGGACATGGATACGTATTCTAATGTGCTCTACACGAAGGAATGTTTCTCTGCCTTGAGTTACCTGGCTCACAGGGTAATTATGACTGATAAATACAGGCCTGAATCTTGCTGCATTATTGGAAATTATTACAGTTTAAAAGGGCAGCATGAAAAGTCAGTCATTTATTTTAGGAGGGCACTCAAATTGAACAAAAATTATTTATCTGCTTGGACTCTAATGGGCCATGAGTATGTCGAGATGAAAAATACTCCAGCTGCAGTTGATGCCTATAGACGGGCTGTGGACATAAATCCTCGGGATTATCGAGCTTGGTATGGGTTGGGACAAGCGTATGAGATGATGGGCATGCCGCACTATGCTTTGCATTATTTTCGGAAATCTGTTTTCTTTCAGCCAATTGATTCTCGGTTATGGATTGCCATGGCTCAATGCTATGAATCTGAACAGCTACACATGCTTGAGGAGGCCATCAAATGTTATAAAAGGGCTGCAAATTGCAATGACACAGAAGCAATTGCCCTACATCGGCTAGCAAAGTTACATAGAGAACTTGGTTACCCTGAGGAGGCGGCATTCTACTATAGGAAGGATTTAGAAAGAATGGAAGCTGAAGAGAGAGAAGGGCCAAATATAGTTGAAGCTCTGATGTTTCTAGCTACACACTACAAAGCACAGAAGAGATTTGAAGAAGCAGAAGTGTATTGTACACGACTTCTGGATTATACTGGCCCAGTGAGTTTCATTGTCATTCTTTCTATATATCATTCAAAATTACCCCCATTTTATGCAAATTTTCAGATGCATCCTGATGCTTCAAATGAGTTTTACTTATTTTGTTCTTCTCCATTGTTGATTACAGGAGAGAGAAACAGCTAAGAGTTTACTTAGAGGAATGAGAATGGCACAATCCAGTTTTCCTTCCATGGACGTCGAGCATTTTCATCCCTGATTTTCTCATTCATACTGATAGAGGCTACAAAATCTTTTGAAGCGGTTCTACCTTTCCTTTGGATTTGGGAAACCAAAGACCAATCAAACTTTTGGGTTATGTCAATTCTAGTTGGGTAGTTCTTGGTCAGTAGCATTACAGATGGTGTAGTTAAATGTCTGTAACTTGGAAAAAAAATCCTCATTTTTTTTTTTTAATTGTTGTGTTGTAACATAACAAATTGAAAGATGTAGCTAGAAGCCTGTATAAACCTTCCGAATCTCAATTAGATGGTTTTTCGTGCCTGATAAATCTCATCTCATTGGCATTTATTAACAGGAAAGGCAACCAATGCATCAAATTTGCATTCAGCTTGATCTAGCTTTTATGACGTCATCTTGAGATCAGGATAGTTAGGTTTTTTCAGGAAAGCATTCGATGCCGAAAATGTGGTGTCATATTTGGCGAGGAGTTTGTCTTGTAGTGTTTCATTCTGCCTCTGTTGAGGTTATTTGTATTTATCCATTTCCTTTCCTTTCCTTTTTCTTTCTTTTTTTTTTTTACTTTTTTTTTAATATTATTTTGGCCCATTTCCCCATTTGTTCAAACTCGGACTGTAACAAGGGCTGCGTTAATGGAAACAGATCTCTACGGTGAGATGAACTGGTGTAAAACTTATATGTAGTGTAGGAGAAACTTGAAGCAAGGTCAACAATGGTTGCAGGGAAAATAACTAACAAAATCTAAAAAAAAAAAAAAAAAAAAAAATGACAACGCAGAACTAATTTAGTATTCCTCATTACCTACTTGAGCTCAAATTGTTTCAATTTTTTTCTTTTTAATTTTTCGACAAGAAAACGACCGCTAAGATACAAAACGATACTAGTTCTTTTTTTTTTTTTGTTTTTCAAATAACAATACAAGTAAAAATGGGCATTGATACTTCTTCGCTATTGTTCTACTAGTCTAGATGCAAGGTGAGCATAACCACAGCTAGTTGCAGAAACATAACACCTAAGAGAAAGAGCAGCTTCATTAAAATTTAGGAACTTACACCAACAGTGAACATAGTACTATTAATGCTCACAACTACAATAACCAGATGAGTGTTCGATATCAGATTGAAGCAGAAACTTTCAACCTAAGGACTCGAGTTCACCGAGGCACCTGGGAGCATTTCTGATTTCAGCTAGGCATTAACAGAATCAAAAACAATTCTTGGCACCAAAATTTAGTCCACACCTGGTTGATGTGTTGATTAGGAAACTCATATAGGTAAAAGAAAAAACCAAAATCCTAAACCCATCTTGTTTTAAAGTTGAAACACATCTTTTTGCAAACCAGAAACTTTTGTGAAAAAAGTAGGTCAAAAACATGTTTTTCAAAACTCAGTTTCTAGAGGATATGTTCTGAGCGCAATTTCAGTCAAAACAAGTTTTGGAAAAACATTTTTAATATTGATGTAGCAAAAAGTCTAAGTTTAAAAATTAAGTTTGAAACTGGATGAATTTCGGAAATATTTTCTTTCACTTTATGAATTTTGTCAGACTCCCTGATTGGCTGCTGCCATGTTGACATCAGATAATTATGATTTACCAGCAGTTGTCCATGCCAATATTCTCGGTCATATTCTAATGCCACATCGGTTTGCTGCTCCACTTATGCTTTACGAACACGATCTCGCCATGATCCTGGTTGCTTTGCTAGCACCTACAACCATGGAAAATATAACCAATCATCTATTACTCTCATGGATACATGTGCTCGCACATGCAACATGCACATGCAACATGCAAATGCAAATACAAACTTGAACATACAGTCTCTCAAGTTCACTCACCTTCTCACTTAAGAGGCTAGTAGCCAGACCATTATCATTGCTATCCTTTTTAAGGTTTTCCTCGTCTGGTTCACTATCTGCAGTAACAGGAAGACAAACTGTTGATGTCCCAAAAATGGCCTCATCATGAGCGGTTTTAATTTGCTCCTCCCTCCTTGCCTACATATTAACACAACATCTGTTACACTAGAGCTAATGAATTAATTATCTCCAACAAAACTCAAACAATGGATACACAGCAGGACTGGTATGCATGAACATTAAATGAAATTTGAAAGATTGATGGATACAAATGAATGATGCAACACCTCTATGGCAGAAAATCGAAAGCTCTGACCAATATGCTTGACTACTGTTGCATCATCTTCAGCAACTGCAAACAAGAAGGCGCATTAAGCAAGTTCTATTTTGCTCTGTTCATTCCAGGATTATATGTATTTCAAGCAAAAGGTCGCAGAGTCCACTTGAATATATAAATTCAAATGTTAAGCACATCAACTTGACGTCTTTAACTGAAAATCATATGATTCATTGTAAGCTCTGCTTATAAACTCATTAATATTCACAAGTTTCAAATTTATTACACAAAATCAAAGCATTACTTGGAGAAAAGAGGATACTTTAGTTTGTTCCAAAATAAGATATTCAAGGTAGTTCAAAAGATCAGGAATTTCATTTAGATGTTCTTATCATTCCCTGTATTTCAAGTTTTAAACTAGAGCAAGGGAATTACAGAAAAGAGGGAAGAGAATAGAGTGCAGAGAGGCCTTACATGCTCTCAGATTTACTAAGGGGCCTAAATGCCATACATGGTTGATGGAGAAGCAGAGAGGCTTATCAAACTAAGTAGGACTTTCTCAATTGAATATTCTAGTTGAAAAGTGGAGAAAGCAGCTTTAGCCTCCATAAAAATTGAGTGAAACCAGTGACTTCATTTTATGCTCAACCTTTACCAACCCTGACACCAAGTCAGCTCAATTCTTCCTCTTATTATTTAACATACTGCTTTCCATAGAAACAGATTTGCATTGAGTATATATGAATTTTCAGTCACTTTGATCAAGTACCAGATACAAATACTCATTATTACTAATAAGGCTTAACAACTGATACCTACATATTAAGTTTTATAGTAAATAGCCAACGGGGAAAAAGGCAACAGTCCATCAAGATTATAAATCTGTTGATCAGCTTGCAAGGAACTCAGTGTTCATAGACAATATGGAGAGATGTTTAACCTTCAATTTCCTCATCATCAAGAGGGGCATCTTTATCGAATTCAAATCGTTCCCAGCCAGGGCCTTTTGTGGGATCCTTTTCAGCTGCATGCAAAATTTATTTCTTAATAATGGGAATGGAGAAAAATCTCTCTCCCACACACACACCAGAAAGAGAAACCTTCCAACCTAGAAAGACCATTAGGATCTTACAGCCACAGCCTTTCAGAATTAACAGCATTGTCAGATGACAGTAACAACTAGCACAGCAATATTTTTTAAACCAACTGAAATAAAGAATGATATAAAGTACAAGACTTGATGACTTGTAAAACTCATAATCTCAAAAGTAGCAAAGGTTCACTGTTCATGAAATTGAGTAACAAAGATAGGAAAGAACAAAGCACTAACAGTCCAGTCTTTTAGTTGTATAAGCATTATTGTCAAAGAAAACGCAAGAATGAAACTACTCATCCACAAGATTTCTCAAGCAAACTTTAGTTTGAAAAGTACATAGATCACACCTGAATATAAAGCGTGTCAAGATGCATCCAACTTTCTGTTTTAGGAGTTACTGAACTTCACTTCTTAAGATCACACTGACCTCCCACAAAGATAAACTAAGATATACAGCCTTCCAGCCAAAATAATGCTAAATTGATAGTATCAAACATCAAACTTTCAAGAAACATGGCACTTTGCACTTTCAGGACCCCTTGAAACTCAAAAAACGACAGAGTAAAAACCCATACAAGAAATAGGACAAACAACCTGTTTCAGCAAGCTGAAGTTTCATCTTGGCTTTAACTCTTTCAGCTGGTGACTGTTCACAAAAGAAATGTGGCTTTGTCATCACTCCTTAGAGCAAAAAATTTGTAAAGACAAAGATCCAAGTATATAAAAGATACTTGACAAAATCATTCTTTTAGATAAAGAACCAATCACAAATAAAATTAGTATAGGCATAGAATCCACAAGGACCTTAGAATCATAGATTCCACTTTTGAAAAGAATAATTTCCCAATATCACGCAAATTGAACAAAAATTGGGTTCCTTAGTAAAAAAACCAATAGAATCATACTCAGGTTTTACTCAAAATTACTTTGTCCTCAAATGTTACTTTTTTTTTGTCATGACATTTAATAGCTTTTGAAATAAAATTCCATATCTCTTCTAAACATATTGATTTGTGGCATGAACTTGACAAAGCGAAGATTGAGCACTTTGGGGCCTCTGATTCTTTCAAAAAAACCAGTTGCAATCATAAATATGTTTAGCTAGAAGAAATACTTTGTATGTGAATATTTTTAAAATGAAAAAAAAAGGAATAAAATTGAAATGAAGAGTCTAGAAATATTCATACCATCCTATCATAACCTTCGATCAACCGAGAATAATCAACAGCGCCATTTTTTTCCTTCTTCGATTTCCCCTCTCTCCCTCCATCCCTCTCTGACCTCCTAGACTCCCGCGGCGGCAAACTCCCGCTCCTCCTCCTCTCAGACTTTCGATCCCGACGGGGCGACCTACTCCTACTCCTACTCCTCCTCCGGTCTCTACGGGGCGACCTACTCCTACTCTTCCTCCGGTCTCTACGTGGCGACCTACTCCTGCTTCTCCGTCTCCTTCTCTCATTTTCTCTGTATCTATCTCTACTTCTGCTTTTGCTCCGCCTCCTCGAATGCCTGTCCTTATCTCTGTCTCTGTCTCTCTCCATCTCCACGCTGCCTTTCTCCGAAACCCTTGCTTCTCTTTCCGGCTTCTTCTTTAACTTATTTTGGATGGATTGAAGTTGAGATTCTTTCTCGAGCTTGGAGGCGGTGGTAGGGCTCGAGGCCCTGACGAAGCCGCTGAGGAAGGACGAAGACGAGGAAACAAAAGCAGAGCCTCTTTGCGGAACCGCTTCGTTTTGCTCATCGTTGGAGGAGAAACCGAGGCCTCTCTTGAATCTGGCGGCTCCCTCGCCTTTCCGCGTAAGCTCGTCGTAGTAGGCTGCCGCCTTTTCTTCTTCCATTTCTATCGCCTTCGCTAACTTTTGGGGATCGGAAGATGATTTCCTTTTTTTTTTTTTTTTTAATTCAAGTTTTATCTGATTTCCCTTATCAATTTGTAGGAACCAGTGATAGATGTGCGACGATGTCGTTTCCTATTAGACCTACTGTGCACTATTTGCCCATTACTTAATGGTAGAGCACCCATGTTGCCCTGCCAATATGGATATGAAGCCCAAATCCATTAGAATCTTGGAAAAGAAAATCTTATTTTTAAATATATACAGGAAAAAAGAAAAAAAAAAAAAAAAAAAAGAGACCAATCCCCTTCAAAAATCTACTCCTTTTTTATTTAAAAGTTTTAAAATGATTTTTATGACAAGATCACATTATTAACTATGAATTAATAAAACTATTATTTTACATAAAAATAATTTAATAAATTTTCAATTTTTATTAATTTTATAAGTATTAAATAATTTAAAATTTTATTATATACATTTTTAATCTAATTTTCTCTTTTCATTACAACTCATTTTATTGTCACCAATATGTTTGTATTTAAATATATATCTCATCATTATACTAATAAATTTCACCACAATTACTATTTTTAATTTAATTAAAACTAATTTCACTGTGCATCTAAATAAATAAATAATAATAATTTCAACTGAATTATTACTATTAAAAAAGCATTTAATTCATAAAATATAAGATTTCTCTATAAATCTTAATTTTCACAAAGTGATTACCTTGTTTGGTTGACAGAATATGATGTTTTAAAGTTTTTTTTTTTTTTATGATTTCAACAGTATTAATAAGAAGAAAATAGCTTAGAATAAAATATACCCTCTCTATGAAGTTTTTTCAGATTTATGGTGGAAAGAAAATTTTATCCCACTTTTATCCTAAATAATTGGTATTTATAGTTTATTATACCCTTCAATATCATAAAAATTACATCATAAACCAAGATCAAACTGACTAGTAAAGATGCATTCAAAGACCCAATGTTTGATACCTGACAACATGTAGGGATAAATTATTTTTTTACAAAATAAAAATTAATTTAGTTTTATTTTTTATTTTTATTGAGTTTAATTAAGTTATTTTAGTTTTTTTTATTGAGTTTTTTTATATAAATAATTTGGTTTTATTGAATAAAGATAGAGTAATAAAAATTACTAACATATGTCAATAATATTCAACAAACGTTTGAATCAAATATTTATTTTTAATTAATAAAATTTTTTGGTTCAATAAATAACATAAATGCTATAATCAAATATTTATAATAAACATTATTATTTAATTACAAAATAAGTAACGTTTAAGAAAATAAATGTTATCTATTATTACAATAGATAACATTTATTTGATGTAAACATCATTTATTATCAATGTAATACTTCATTTATTGACTCTTATGTAGCTTGGTATTTTTTATAAGATCACTATTATAATGTAATTATCGAGATGATCTCATTAATAAAGTGATTTTAACACTTGTGATTTGAAATTATTTTATTTTGTTAACAATGATTAATTTTTAGAAATTAAAGATCATTATATTTGGTATTACTAAAAATCAAACATTATTTTATTTATAAGTATGAAAATAACAATACATATTACAATAGTTACATAAATTAATAATTTTATGGTCGTTTAAAGATAATAATTTATAAAATATTAGTAATATTTATTTATTTTATAATAAAATATAATTAAATTATTAAATTAATAAATATATTTATTGATAGGTAAATTTATTTTTATAATATAAATTATGAAAAAAATATTTAAATTAGAAAATGAAACCAATCTATTAAATTCATAATAAAAGAAAATTAAAAAAATATATTATATATAAAATATTAAAGAAAGTCAAAAACAATATAAATTATTTTGAACTTGTTATAATGAATATTAATTTAAAAATATAAAAATTTATAATATAAAATAATTACAATTTTAATGCAACAAGATTTTAATTCACATATTAAATGTTAGAGATTTTCAAAATAAAATATGAGAAATAATCTCACATTGAAAAAGAAAAAATAAAGACAAATAGTTAAGTTTGTTCAAAATAGACAGATAAATTTGTTCAAAATGAACAATTTTAACTGTTCAAAACCTTTATAAAAGTTCAGTAATCTTGTGGTACATTTGTAACTACTCGGTCGAATGATTTCATTAGTACAAAACACTATCAATTACTAGACGTCAGTGTATCCTCAAGGTTTATTGCTTATAACGTTTTTGCACACCTACGAAGTAAATAATACGGTAAGAGCAAATAAAACCTTAAGAAAAGTGACACCGTTACATGCTTTGGAGCATTTTTTCAAAATTCTAAATTTATCAGAAGCAGTAATTCCAGATTTTCAGTATTTGCTCTAACAATTTTAAAGTTTTATTTGGTTCAACAATGGCTACCGAAGCAACGTTAAGGGATCTGGCTTCTAGTTTTGTCAAATTGAATCATTTTGATAGTGGCAATTTTTAAAAATGGCAAAAAAAGATGCATTTCCTACTTTTAACCTTGAAAGTTGTATATGTTCTGTGTACTCCTAGGTAAGGGTGTAATTGATTAAGTTTGAGCGATACAGTACTAAGTTCGAGCTCGACTTCAAATTCAATACTCGAAACTCGACTCGAATTCGATTGAGTTTTATTTTTTTAACTCGAACTCGACTCGAGATAGAAATTATGCTACTCGAGCTCACTCGATTAAGCTTGATTAACATGTAAAAATAAGTTTAATTTTTATATTCGATAAAAATTCGATTATTTGTGCTCGAGCTTGAACTCAAGTTCGAGATATTTTATCAATTAAAATAATTAAAATATATTAAAATATAAAAGCTCAATTAAGGTCACTAATAACTCGAACCGGGTATAAGAATGCTCGAATTCGGCTCGATCGATAAGTCAAGTTACTCAAGCTTAATTTCGACTCGATAATAATCGAGCTAAATTCGAGTTTTATTCAAATTGAACCCGGGTAGTTTGCGAGTACTAATGTATTATTTACACCCCTACTCCAAGGCCAAAAGAAAATGAAACAGAAGAATGTATTGCTGTAATAAGAGAAAGGCAGAAATGGGATAATGCAGACTACATGTGCAAAGGCCATATTCTGAACCGTCTGTCTAATAGCCTGTTTGATATATACCAAAATAAGGCTATTGCAAAGGAGTTATGGGACAAATTAGAAACTTGGTATATGACCAAGGATGCAACAAGTAAGAAATTTCTTGTTAGTCATTTCGATAATTATCATATGATTTATGGATGTTTTGTGATTGATCAACTATGTGAAATTGAAAAAAATGCTTAATCAGTTTAAACAATATAATATGAGTATGGATGAAACAATTATTATGTCCTCTGTAATAGATAAATTTCATTTATCATGGAATGACTTTAAAAGAAGTCTGAAACATAAAAAAAAAAAAAAATCACTCTTGAGGCTTTGACTAATCATCTTCGAATTGAAAAGGAATATAGAAAACAAGAATATAATTTCAATTTTGATGATGCCAAAGTTCATGTTTTGGAGGAAAGACAAACTACAAATCTTGACAAAAATAAGTTTAAATTCAGGCAGATTGCTAATGTGCCTAAATTCAAGAAGAAAAAAAAAGCTTATGTTACGTTGCAGTAAGCCATAACATTTCAAGAAAGAATGTCGATTGCTATAAAAGAAAAATGATTCTTCAAAAAGGTATACTTTTGAAAATTTTGTTGCCATGATTTTCGAGATCAACATGTTTAAAATGATGAATCTTGGTGGGTTGATTCTAGGGCAATAAAACATGTGTGCAAGAGCAAAAACATGTACATAACATTCAAACCAAGTGAATATGGTAGTGTCCTTTACATGAGAAATTCTTTTATAGGAACAATCAAAGGCAAAGGGATTGTTGACCTTGAATTCACTTTTGGAAAAACTCTAACTTTGAATGATATTTATTATGTACCAGAAGTTAAGAAAAACTTAGTGTTTGGAAGTTTGTTGAAAAAGTTTAGTTTTAAACTTATATTTGAGGCAGATAAATTTATTATATCTAAGGGAGGAATTTTTATTGGGAAAGGCTATATATATGAAGGAATGTTCAAACTCAATATTATTAATAAAAATAAGAATGTTGTTTCTACTTATATGGTTAAATCTTCACATGTATAGCATTATAGATTAGGTTATTTAAATTATAAAAAATTGCATGACATGAGTAAGCTTATGTTAATTCTTGAATTTAGCCAAGATATTAATAAATATAATACACGCATGTTGACTAAGATTACTGAAAATCATTTTTTTAAGGTTAAAAGAAATATAAAGTTACTTGAGTTAATTCACAGTGATGTTTGTAATATGCATAACACTCTTACATTATTTGAAAATAAATATTTTGTCACATTTATAGAAGATTGTATTAGATATTGTTATGTTTATCTATTATACTCTAAAAATGAAGTCTTTGATAAGTTTAAAATATATAAATCATAAGTTGAACTTCAGTGTGAATCTTTTATCAAATGCTTAAGTTTACAATAGGGGTGAAGAATATTATAGTCTAAATCACTTTGAATCCATTGGAATAATTCACTAAGGTATTGCTCTTTATACACCACAATAAAATGGTATAACTAAAAGGAAGAACAGGGTCTTAACAAAAATAGTAAATGAATGTTATCATATTTTGGTCTTGGACAAGGATTTTGGAATGAAGCTTTATTAACAGCTTGTCATATACTAAATAGAATTTCTAACAAAGAAACAAAAATAACCCCATATGAGCAATGAAAGAAAAGAAAACCAAATCTTAATTATTTAAAGGTTTAAAGATATAAAGTTGTATTTAAAATTTCAAAACCCAAAAGGAAAAAGTTGGGTGAAAAAGGAATAGAATGCATATTTATAGGATATGCATAAAATAGTGAAGCATATAAGTTCGTGGTTATTGAACCAAATGATTCAATTTCAGTTAACACTATTATTGAATCAAGAGATGTAATTTTTGATGAAAATAGATTTAAATTTATTTCGAGACAACTACAAGCAA